TGGCGAAGCACTTGTGGAATGGCACCTTTGACTATACAAACTGTGACATCAACCCACTGGACCCAGGAGAGTGTAACCCACTCATACCCAAGTATGGAAACACATGCTACAGCTTAGATGCATGGTTATGTACAGATATTGAGAATGTCAATCACAGGAAGTCTGCATACACATGGTGTTTTTGCCCTTTGTGCAGAGAGCTTTAAAGAATACACTGAGATCAGATAAAAGAGATGAAAGAGATGGTCATGTTTTCTCTTTTACTTTCTGGTCTAAGTAATGCCTCAGAAATTAACTGACATTGCAGGAGTGTGTTTCAGGCATCTTCATTGGTTTTAATAATAATGCATCATCTATACACTGTGTCCGCTTCACATGTAGAAAAGGCCAGGGTCGCCCTGACTGGGCAGTGTTTGGCAGACTGACTCAACACAATGAGACCACCCTGTTCAAAGAAAAGTTCCTGGACTGGAGCGACTCCAGGAAAACTCCCAGTCCTACAAAAAACAGCAGCGATCACAGTACTGATCAAAAGGTATCAGCAAACACTTTATTCTACCTACGTCCTCATTCTTTGTTTTTGTGGGAGTAACATGCTTCAGCAGATTCAGCACACTTATTTCTTTCTTCTACTTCAATCCTCACCAGGAGCAGCCCACCCGTGATCAGCCCAGTGCGTGCAATGCCTCACTGATGCTGACCCTCCATCAGACACCCGTCTGCACCATTCTGGATGGCTTCAATGTGGGCCGGGGCTACGGCCTGGTGGAGGCAGAGGAGTGGCGCAGCTACGAGATCAGCACTCTGGCAGTGGAGGTCTGGCACATCCTGGAGTTCGACTACAGCCGCCTGCCGCGCCAGAGCATTGGCCAGTTCCACGAGGGTGACACCTATGTAGTGAAGTGGAAATACATGGTCAGCACTGCTGGTGCGTACTGAGCACATAGATTACACTTTCATGTAAACCTTGTAATTTTGCAGTAGTTGATGAACTGCAACTTCCTAAAGGATCACTTTAGTCAAAGCAGACTTGTTTGTGTAGATTGTGTCCAATCTACCACGTGTGCAGAGACGTGTTTAGAAGAGTCAATCATTCAAACCGGCCAGCAGATGGAGTGATGGAGACAGTACATCAGTCATGTTTGTTATAATTTCTTCATTTGTATGCAGAGTTTGCACATAATGTTTTGCTTTTTCCACTGCTAAAAGTTGTCTTAGTGAGTGAGTTGTAGTATTGACTACAATACTGATACATTTATTTCCAGTTTACCTAAACCACAGAACCACAGGATCCTTGGTTTTATGTCTGTTACTGCAGATCTAGGCCAATTTAACCACATAGCACATCCTCTCTGACTCACTCCGAGTACTTCCAGGAACACCAAAGTACACCTTTGGGGAGGACTGTTGGTGAAATCAGTTATGTACCACGCAGCCAAATGTCTGCAGATTCGGTGAAGCTGGCTCAGCTCCTGCCGCTGCTCTTGACTTGTGAAGCAGAATACCACAAACTCCAGTTTTATGTTACAGATTAAACAAACTAAATGCTTGTTAGATTACAAGAGGGGGAGAGTACAAGGAGGAAAGAAATAGTTGGTTTCACCACTGCTGTGATCAGGTTTAGACACAGCCACAGAAAATCAGTGGTTATGCTGGATTTGTCTGCTGTGTTTTAATTTAGTAGTGCTGTGTCTGGTGCCATGGTGGTACACTACTGTTCTCCCAATACTCAAATTCTGTTCTGTCAATTCTGTAATACTACTTGT